TGATGTAGTTTCCGGAAACTCCAGTCATGTCAGCTATAAGGCATGCTGCAAGATCGCGAGAGAAAACGACAGTAAGACAGAATGCGAATAAATTGGTTAAATACAAAGATTCTGCGATTGGCGGACCTGCCGAAGATCTGGGTAATGCCAAACGGAATGAATATCGACGAAATCAATTGGTGCATTTACCTGAATAAAGAGTCCAACATGTAACCTGATCAAATTGGAAAAATTCAGAGGGCAAATGCGACCGGTGGTGTGCATTGCACTCTTCAGTGTCATCCTCCTCGGCAACATCAGGAAAGTGATCCACGCCAAATTATTCAATTGTACCTTCCTGTCGGCAATATGTTTAAGACCTTCTCACTCACTGAAGCCGAAGAACCCAAGCTGTTACGAAAAGACGAATATTGGGAAACTCATGTGGCGGCCACATCACTCTCACGAGCAACAGACATCAATCATGATTGAAGGACGTCATCATCGAAAGAAAAAAGGAAAAACTACTGTAGACCGGAAACGTAGCTCGGCTAATCAACGGGAAATGACTCCGTGCTAAGCATCGGCTAGTGATATCCTCGTGAATGAAATAAGCCGCTTTGTCGCTCTCCGGAACGATCGGAACTGGGAGCATTGCATTTGGAGTGAGAAGGCTCAAACCGCGTGAAATCAGGAGCATGTTACGGCCGGCATTTTTAGGCGCTGATTAGCGGCAGGTCCAAGTGATCCAAAAAATGCAAGGCAAAGTTAGGAACCGCTGGTTATCCACGTATGTCAGGGTTTGATACTCATTCTGTGATTTAACAGTGTCATGCAAACTAGGTTCCATCACCAAAAATATGCTAATAAGAATAATTCGGCAGATTCGATTACATAAGATGGTTACATCATCACGTGGCTCATCGGCTAATGTTCTAGCTACGAATGAGTCGAAATATACTATGATTTAACATTGGGTAGATTGCATGGGAAATATTTGCCTTCCATATAAGGATAATTTGCCTCAGAACAAGTTCAGCTTAAGCGAACAATCTTGAAATTTTAACGGCCAACAATTCTGCAAAAATCCTTTTGCTGCCAACGATAACCTGTCCATGCTTTTTCATAAGATTTGATCAAAGACAAATCAATTACTTGATCCTGTTGCAATAATACGATATGCGATATCTGTATTAAAGTCGAAACGATTCACAGAACCAGCGTCTAATTCTTACCTCTGAACGGATAACATACAAAGTAAACAATTACATGGTGGGGAATGCGCGGTTACGCGCATCCTGGTTAGTCATGAAGAGCAGTTATGAACCTTTAATGTTGAACTGTAGATTAGAAAGACTACAATGACTCTGGGAGAGGAGAAAAACCTTCAACGCAAAATGTTAAAGGTAAAAATATTTTAACGATGTTTGGCCCGAAGCACCGGGATTACCGTTCAAATCAATTTGCAATAAAAGCGTCTTAAAAGTTTATGCTGTGCTGCTTTTGATCATAGGCGGAATACTTGGATAGACTGAGGGAAATTCTAAGTCACTGGCATCCCATAAATAGCTGAAAATGAAGACCTACAGCCGAGTTCCTCCATCAGAGTGTAATCGATTTGAACAAGGAAGATATTCACAATTTTAATCAGAGTGATGCATTATTTAAGAACTCATTATTCATTTGTAAAACGAATTTGAATCGATCTGTAATACTTAACTATATACCACCAAATCCAAATCCGCGATCGGCGCAGAATCCGAAGATACACCTGCGCTTCTGATCCGCAAAGTTGAGATGCTGCCAATCAAAATTAGTTCTTGAAGACTCTTCAAAAATTCCAGGAATTCCAAACGATCGACCGCCTTGAAACTGGCCCATGGAAGGATTGACGTTAAAATCCGTATTGTCACCAAATGGAACTCCGACGATTCTTGCATTTGATCCCCACCCTGCGCCGTAGTTCCCTCCGCCTCTGTTGCCTGCGTTGAACAAGCCAGAGCTCTGTTTCACAAGTCCCAAAATGTTTGAGTTTCGGCCAACATTCAGCGCACCTCTCACAGTGTCGAGCAAACCGCTAAAGCCTGAACTTATTCCATTGTTTGGTAGAATGCTGTCAAGAAACGGAATGGTCAGTCCTCTAGAAGCGCCGAACGGCAAGACGCCTGAAGCACGTGCCGTCCGTCCATTGCACTTGCCTAAATTCATAATGTTCAAATTCATAATAATTCAAATTAATGACTGACTGACTGACTGACTGACTGACTGACTGACTGACTGACTGACTGACTGACTGACTGAC